ATGCTTCTATGATGGGTCTAGGTGGTGTGCTTATGCAAGATGGTAAAATGGTTGCTTATGCTTCTAGGCAATTGAAGATTCATGAGAAGAATTATCCTACACATAACTTGGAACTTGTGCCGGTTGTTTTTGTGCTTAAGATTTGGAGGCACTACCTTTATGGTTCTAGATTCGAAGTGTTTAGTGACCATAAAAGCTTGAAGTACTTGTTCGATCAAAAAGAGCTTAACATGAGATAAAGACGGTGGCTTGAATTATTAAAGGATTATGACTTTGGATTGAATTACCATCCTGGTAAAGCAAATGTGATGGCTGATGCCTTAAGTCGAAAGACTTCGCATATGTCACTTTTGATGGTGAAAGAGTTGGAAATGATTGAACAATTTAGAGATATGAGTCTTGTGATCGAGGTGACGCCGAAGAGTGTTATCTTGGGAATGTTAAAGATCAACAATAATTTCCTTGATGGAATTAGAGAAGCTTAGAAGCTTGATGTGAAGCTTGTTGACTTATTGGTTGGTATTGGACAAACTGAGATGAGAATTTCAAATTGGATGCTCAAGGTGTGTTGAGGTTCCGAGATAGGATTTGTATTCCTGATGATGTGTACTTGAAAAGAATGATTCTAGAAGAAACTCACCGAAGCAATTTGAGTATTCATCCCGGAGCAACCAAAATATACCAAGACTTGAAGAAATTATTTGGTGGTCGGGTATGAAACAAGAGGTAGCTCAGTTTGTGTATGCTTGTTTGACATGTCAGAAGTCTAAGGTGGAGCATCAGAAACCTGCAGGGTTGATGCAACCGTTATAAATTCTGGAATGGAAATGGGATAACATTTCCATGGATTTCGTGACGGGGTTACCGAATACACCTAGAGGACATGTTGTGATATGGGTGATTGTTGATAGGCTCACAAAGTCGACTCACTTTATTCCTATTAACATCAGTTATCCTGTATCAAAGTTAGTGGAAATCTATACGCATGTGATTGTGAGATTACATGGTATTCCTCTTTGTATCGTTTCAGATCGAGATCCGAGGTTCACTTCAGATTTTTGGAAAAGCTTGCAAGAAGCTTTAGGTTCTAAATTGAGGTTGAGTTCAGCTTATCATCCTAAAATCGATGGTCATATGGAGAGGACGATTCAATCATTGGAAGATTTGTTACGAGCTTGTATTCTTGAACAAGGTGGTTCATGGGATACTTATCTTCCGTTGATCGAGTTTACTTATAACAATAGTTTTCATGCAAGTATTGGAATGACACCATTCAAAGCATTGTATGGTCGGAGGTGTAGAACTCCTTTATGTTGGCATGAGTCGGGTGAAAGTGCGGTACTTGGACCGGAATTGGTTAGAGAGACTACTGAAGCGGTGAAGATGATTATAGAAAAGATGAGAATTTCTCAAAGTCGACAAAAAGTTACCATGATAAACGAAGGAAAGATTTGGAGTTTCAATCGGGTGATCATGTGTTTTTACAAGTTACTCCTACAACCAGTGTGGGACGAGCCTTGAAATCGAAGAAGTTGACTCCTCGATTTATTGGTCCTTATCAAATTACAAGTACAGTTGGAAAAGTGGCATATAAAGTGGCGTTACCGCCAAATCTTTCGAATTTGCATGATGTGTTCCATGTGTCGCAACTTCGGAAGTATGTTCCAGATCCGTCCCATGTGATTGAAATGGATGATGTTCAAGTTCGTGATAATCTTACGGTGGAGACGATGCCTTTAAGGATTAAAGATCATGAGATAAAGTCTCTTAGTGGCAAAGAAATTGCATTAGTCAAAGTTGTTTAGATAGGAGCGACAGGTGAGAGCATGACGTGGGAGTTGGAGAGCAAGATGCAGGATTCCTACCCCGAGCTTTTCGAATCAGGTAAATTTTCGAGGACAAAATTCTTATAATTGGGGGAGAGTTGTAACGCCCCAATTTATTAAATATCATAATTATATTATTATTTTCAAAATTTTCGGTTAATGTTTATTTCGTGATAAATTATATTTTTTAACCGGTATATTTAATAATATATTTGGCCATTTATTATTCGGTCCGGTAATTATTTATTCGGACCGGTATTTATTTATTCGGACTTATTTAATTTATTTGAGTTTTTAATATTAAGTTGCAAGACTAGATTTAAGAGTGTAGTGTTATTTATGGTATATTAGTAATTACCCCATGTCTTGGATCAAAATAAAACTAAGGCACATATGTAGTAGTAGTAGTTAGTATGTAGTAGTAGTTAGTGTGTTGGTCTTGTATCAGAAAAAGAAAATAGAAACATAGAGCGAAAGAGGGGTTTTTGGTGTGAAGTGAGAAAAGAAGATTATTTTATTCAGTCCGGTAATTATTTTATTCGGTCCGGTAATTATTTTATTCGGTACGATAATTATTTTATTCGATCCGGTAATTATTTTATTCGGTACGGTAATTATTTTATTCGGTACGTTAATTATTTTATTCAGTCCGGTAACTATTTTATTCGGTTCGGTATTTATTTATTCAGATTGGTATTTATTCGGGCTTATTTAGTTAAGTTGGATTTTTTTTTAAATAACCAAACCAATGCACTTTGTATTATATTAGTGACATAGGTGTATCAAGAAAATAAAATAGGAAAAGTAGTATGTATAAGTGAGTGGTTGGTGTGTTGTGGGGTATCCGAAAAACAAATAGAGAAATAGAGAGAAAGAGAGGTGCTTGGTGGGTGAAGAAGAAAGAAGAACAAAAGCAACAAAAAAGAGCTAGGATTGGTGATTTGGAGAATAAAATGAAAGGGTAATTGGCAAGAACGACACTAGAGGTAATGGGTGTGGTGATTCCTTTCCTATAAATAAAACTATAATTAATTTTATTAGGTTTAGGGTTGTGAAGATTTAAGTATTTTTATGGAAAATGTTTGATTAAATATTGTTGTTGTGTTGGTGTGTTGGTTATGGTACTATAAATATATTGATTGCCATGTATTGTTTATATGTGTTGAGTTTGGAAATAATACTTGGATACTGCTAGTTGAGTTTATAGCAGAAAACAATATATATCAGTAACATAATCTACCAGTTAGGAAATAAGGCAGGAAGTTTCTGAGTTACTAATAAACAAAATATATTATGAAATGAAATATTATTCTATAAAGTTAAATATAATCGGTTTAATCGGTAATTCGGGTAACCGGTAAATACTTAAAACGAGTCCGATTTCGACGGTTCGAGTGGCGTTTCGGAGACCCGGTTATGGCGTTTAATAATATTATTAATGCCAATTATTTTGAGGTAATTTTTATGACAAGTATATTTTTGGTGAATATTAATTCATATCCGGAATTAATTGAATTGTGAATATTGTTGATTAATGCTTCCAATTTGTGAATGCATGATTTTTGTTGATGATGATTTGCATAATGCAAAATGTGATGATGTTAATGACGATGTTTTACCTCCGATGTTTGGTAAATTTAATGACGAGGGTCTATGATATTTTGATGATTATGACGATTTTGATGTGTTGTTGTGTGTATGTGTTGTCTTTTGTCGAGTCGCATACATTGCATAAATGACGATGGCTTTTGCTAAAATGACGAGGGCTTTTGCCAAAATGACGAGGGCTTTAGCCAATGTTCGTAATTACGAACAAAATGTGTTGGTACCACATGCATACATAGTCGAGTCACATTGTGTTGGTTATGTTTGTTTGAGTTTATTGGTTATGTGTTGTTTTATGATGTTTTATGATGATTGTGATGATTTATGTGGTGATGATAAAGTGTTGTTATATATAAATTAAATTGGTGATAAAAGTGTGTGAGATTGGTATATATGTTGAATATTACTTACTATCGGTATCTCTTTATAATTCTGAAACTATATATTATTTATCATCTCTTTATTTACATTATTTGAATTATCTCACCCTTTACTTGTTTCGCCGTTACCTTTATATTGGTAACGTGCAGGTGATCCGCGTTGATGAGGTGGATTTAGCTCGAGTCATTAGTTTTTGAGTCTCTCTGCTCTGATAGCATAATGTAGCGGTGAGAATCGGAGATCAATCTATTAATTAACTTGACTCACAAAAGCAAGAGTCGCCACCGCGCTTTATTATTTCCAAGGAAAAAGGGAAACGAGCGAAATAAAACCCTAAAGTATGCAATGTAAATTAATATTTAAAAGTAATGAAAATACAATGCGTTTTTAAAAGAGGTCTATGGTTCAGGGGTTGGTTATACAATGGGAAGGTATTAGCACCCAATGTATCTGCGGTACTCCGCAGGAACCTTTTGAAATATCTGTTTTTGGTTAAAATTGTTTGTTTGATTAAAATGGTTCGTTTGGCTAAAAATCGGTGTTGGAGAGATTTTGAAGATACGACGACCTGGTGTCAAAATTTTGACTTAAAAGGTGTGAGTTTTAAAATGGAGTCTTTTGGGAAAATTATCTTGAGTTTAGCAAAATAGTAAACAAACAAAAAAATGAAAAAAAAGGGTATTCGCACGATCGGATGAGATGCATTTGATGACGTGAAGTCAACAAATTTAAATCTTTCCCTTGGAGTTTAAACAAATAAACAATAAAGTAAGCCATAAAAATTAAAATGAACTAAACTGAAAATACCACAAAAACTTATTAACATGTAAAAGGAAAATCATAAAGGAATAAATATAAACCAAAATTGATGACAAAGCGAATAATAATAAATACGAAATGATGGAGGAATAATTAAACATAAAGAGATATAAAATTAACTCTAAGCTACAGTCGAAAATTCTAAGGTTATTAAGTTAAATCTAAATTAAAATTCTAAAATTTGCTGACTAAACTAAAAAAAAAATTACTAACTAAGCTAAATAAAATTCTAAATTTACTAAATAAGCTTAATAAAAAATTCTAAATTTACTAACTAATTCTAAAGAAAAATATTAAGTTGACTCCAAACTAAAACTAAATAAAACAAAATGTCTAATTTAAGAACAAAATTATATGATTAATTAAAAACTAACTAACCTAAATAAATGAAATATAGCTTAGAAAAAAAAATCAAATCTAAATTGAATAGAACTATGGTGTAGGGCGGAAGGAATCGTCTTGTATTTCGTATGGGCTCAAAGGGGGAATGGCAAGCCCAAGTTAAGGAGAACAGATAAAATAAAATAAAAAAAACAGTTGGGCTAGGAGATTGGAAATGGCCCAATTTAAAGAAGACAGTTTAATTAGTAAAAAACAAAAAAAAACAAAAAAAAAGGCATGGACTTGCAATGGAACCGGGTCGGGCGGATCCGCCTGTAAAACAAATCGATAGTTTCCAACATTGACAGGACCAACAAGAACACTCTCTAACAACTGGTCATAAGTCTCATCTTCAGCAGATCCAACGTAAATGAGCTTCCATTCCAAATCATCTTTGAGAGCGGCTAAGCACTCGTAGGAAATCTCGAACTGAAAAGGAGAGAGGAAGGAGGCGGGGTTATCGAGGAAGGTGATGTTGGTGATGTTCACGGCGCTCATGGTTCTCCGTTCTTTGAAAGTTCTGGAATGTTTGAAACGCGGAAAGGAAGAGAAGAGAGGAGTGTTCAAAAGAGAAGGGAATGAAAGGTTGGGTGCTGCGGAATGGGATGCCGTTTGATGGAGGTGAGCTGAGGGTTTGGAATCATTGTGCGTTGGAAGAGAGAAGATGGGTGGATTGAGTGGAAACCGATGCGTGGAGAGAGAGAGAGTTAAAGGGATGGTGAGGATTGGTTTGGATGATGCTGACGAAGGGGATTGGAAGGGGGTATTTCACCGGAAAGTTTGTTTGAAGAAAGATTCAAACTTTGAAGAGTATCAAGTATGGTAATTGAAAAGGGTATATTTCCTTTAAGCTGATTACCTGAAAAATCAACATGGGTGAGATTGGAATGAATGTGAGCAGGTAAGAAACCAGTGAGATTAGCATGAGAAAGTGTCAATGTTTTGAGGTAGTTCATGTGTCCAAGAATGACGTAAGGACCAGAAGATTTGACTTGGACATTTGAGACAGCGAGATCGGTGAGATTCTGAAGCTGAGAGAGCCAGACTCCGGAGACTCTGCGGAGGCTGTTGATGCAGGTGAAGGTTCTGAGAGATGAGATGAGTTGAGGAGGGAAGTGGATAGGTGGGTTACAATGGCATAGTGGTGTTGTGGGTGTCGTGAGGGAGGGTTGGATGGAGGAGTTGCTGTTGTTTGGGTTGAAGATGATGGGTTTGTAAGCGGAGTGTTGGTGATGGAAGGGTGTTGTGAGGTTTCGCGACGAATGGGTGAACGACGCGGTGATTGGCAGCAGTGATAACTGGGTTTGCAACGATGCCTCTGGGGTGCACCAGAGTGGGTCAACGGCTGCGGTCTTGTGTATGGATAGGCTATGGCATGATGTGAATTCAGAACAAAGATACGGTGATGGTGTGACGGTGGTTCCATTGAGATCGGAGGCTGTTAGCGGCTGAGACGCACGAGTCGCAAGGGTCGCGGTCGGTTTGAATGATGCAAATCAGACGGTTGTTTCTTCTTTTTCTCCTGCAAAACAGTCAAGGACACAATACAAAGTTTTTTCCCAGAATTTGTATATTATATTTCCTTATTGTGATTGTTTGTTTCTCTTTTCGTTAGTTAGCAATTAGAAGAAAAAAGTGAATCATTCTTTTTCTTTGATGATGTTGATATTTTTGGTTTAGAGATAAAGGTTGTGAAGAGAATTTAGTGATGTGGTGAGTTTTCCGTGAAATTGAAACAAGCCACAAAAGATGTAGAAACTTAGGAATTTGAAAGAGGAGGTCAGGTGGTTTGACTCAAAAAGAGAAGTGGACTCTAGAAAAACTACTAGAAAAATATGTGTAACTATGTACAAAAAGTTGTAAGCAATGAAAGGAAAACTTTCTGGAAATTGTGTGATGTGTGTATCTTACATGGAGTTTTTGTGTGTGGAATATTTTGTTTGTTAATTTTCTCCCCCCTTTTTCTCTACTGCCCTCCTATTGTTTTATAGAAGATGGGAGATGAAATTGGAGGGAGTTTTGGGGGGGAAATTCCAGTGAGTTTGGACTAATATGGTAATCTTTTTTTTTGGATTTTTGATGCAGATTTGTTATGGTCACTTTCATGTAAATTCTTCTTTGGGTGTAGATTTTTGTTTTCTTGTACAAACACTTGTGTAAAATTGTTGTGGTAACTTGTAATTTTTTCCCTCTATTTTTGAGAAAAACAAACAAATAATGACATAATAGTAACAATAATATAAGAAGAAGAAAAAAGTATTAGTAACAATAAAATAAAATAATAAAATGCAACAATGATAATAACAATAATGAGAACAAAATAAAAATAATTAGTAACAATGAAAGATGAAATAATAAAATGCAATAAAGATACTACTAATAATAACAATAACGAGAAGAAGAGAAAATAGTTAGTAATACCTAAAAGAAATAGAAATAGATAAAAATAATTAAAAAAAAAAATAATAAGACAGATTTTTGAACTAAAAAATTTCATTAGAAATATGATAGGAAATGCAAATGATAAACTATTTTAATTATTTTTTTTTAAATAGAAATTAAAATGATGAATAAAAACAAGAAAGTATGCGAAATGATCGATTTTTCAAATTAACGACAAAAAATGCACCAGTCGAAAAAAGTGAAGGGGCGAAAAATGGGGGGGGCGACAGTTGTGCCTTGATGAATCAGTCTTCGAGAGTCCATAATCAACCATAATTTTGGCTTGGGAGACTCAAAACCTTAATTGAGGCGCGACACCTGATGCTCTTGATTCAGACCTGTCTCTGCACATGACACAAAAGAAAACATGAACATACACATTTGTATGCGATTAGAAATTAGTGATACATATGCTAAAAATGTTCAAAACACTTGACAATCTTCGCATAGTCAAAGCTCGAAGGTGAGACGTTAAAACCGACCGTATTTCAAGACCTTGACTTATCTTAAAAAATGCAAAAATAAAAATGGGATCTTAGGTCAAAAATTGGGGTACAACAACTGCCCCTATTTAAGTTTCTTCTATCTGGAGATATGAAGATTGGGATCTTCATTTCGACGAGATTGAAGGGACTTAAATATAGAATACACAATTTTTGGCCTTAAGATACCGCGATTATGTTTACGATATGATATGAATGTGATGTTTTGAATTTTATGGGGAATGATGCCATATGAGACAGACTATGCTGGAGAAACCAAGCACATTATACAGTAATCCTACAGGGGAACAAATTATAACATCACTGGGGAAACAAAGTCATAGACTTCAAATGAGAGACTCTTGAATGATTTACATCAGTATTGAGACTGGAGAAGGGAAAGGATTGACATTAACATTGTGAATGGAAAAGGAAATGATTGACATCAGTACTGAGACTGGAAAAGGAAATGATGGATATCAGTACTGAGACTGGAAAATGATTGACATCAACACTGTGGCTGGAGATAAACATCTCTGATTTCTGAATTTTACCAAGAACGATAACACATTTCTTCTTTAACCAAGATATCGCTTGAAAAGGATAAAATAACAAACTTATCCACGGGACTTTTCCGAAAAGGGATGCCATTTGCTGAGTAGACATTATTGTTGGGGATACACAATCTACTCAAATAAAGAGGCCGCCACTTGCTTCCTTTCAAAGGTGTCAATAACATACAAGCTGCTCATGAAGAGACCGCCACTTGCTGTCTTCAAAGAATATTAAAGCACACAAGTTGCTCATGAAGAGTCCGCCACTTGTTGCCAAAAACCCACAAGCTGCTCATAAAGAAGTTGCCACTTGCTGTCTTCAAAGAATATCAAAGCACACAAGCTGCTCATGAAGAGTCTGCCACTTGTTGCCAATAACCCACAAGCTGCTCATGAAGAAGCTGCCACTTGTTGTCTTCCAAAAAATATCAAAGCACACAAGCTGCTCATGAAGAGTCTGCCACTTGTTGCCAATAACCCACGAGCTGCTCATGAAGAAGCTGCCACTTGTTGTCTTCAAGGGAACAATAACACACAAGTTGCTCAAATAGATAAGCTGCCACTTGTTGTCTTCCAAAATACTAACGTACAAGCTGCTCATGAAGAAGCTGCCACTTGCCATTTTCCGTACAAGCTGCTCATGAAGAGACCGCCACTTGCCGTTTTCAAAAAGTGTTGATAACATACAAGTTGTCCATGAAGAGACTACCGCTTGCTGTTTTTAAAAGTGTTGATAACATACAAGTTGTCCATGAAGAGACCGCCGCTTGATGTTTTTCAAAGGTATCGATGACACACAAGTTGCTCGTGAAGAGACCGCCGCTTGCTGTTTTCTCTAAGATAACAATAACACACAAGTTGCTCATGAAGAGGTTGTCGCTTGCTATTTCTCGAAGATATTAATAACATACAAGTTGCTCGTGAAGAGACCGCCGCTTGATGTTTTCAAAGGTGACAATAACACAAGTTGCTCATGAAGAGACCGCCGCTTATTGTATTTTTTCAAGGTATCAATAACATACAAGTTGCTCATGAAGAGACCGTCGCTTGATGTTTTCAAAGGTATCAATAACACACAAGTTGCTCATGAAGAGACCGCCACTTGCTGTTTTTCAGAGGTAACAATAACATACAAGTTGCTCATGAAGAGACCGCCGCTTGCTGTTTTTCAGAGGTAACAATAACATACAAGTTGCTCATGAAGAGACCGCCGCTTACTGTTTTTTCAAAGATACCCATAAAATATCATGAAGATATTGCTGGAGGTGAGAATCAATAATTTCATCGAGGATGGACAAACTGCTCATGAAGAGACCGCCATTTGTCGTAGAGAAATCAGAAATAATCAAACTGCTCAAATAAAGAGTCAGTCGCTTGTTGTCAAGTCGATATTCCAGAAGAAGGTTGTGATACTACTAGGGAATAAAGTTCATCTTCAATGGGAAACCATGAATGGATTCTTCCTGAGAAGACCAAGTATTTACATTGCAAAATAAATGTACTCTCCATCTAGGTTTCACAGCCTAGAGATATCCACAGGGTATCGTTCACAAGAGACAAAGCTCAATCCAGGAATAAACTGGAGAGAAAAACAGTCAAACAAGACTCCACCCAATGAGGAAACAACTCAAATGGGGATTTATCCTATCCAGAGATGGAAAAGGAAAGCTAAAGCAAGGTTCTTCCACGAGAGTTAACTCAGTGGGGAATTAGAAAGGAGGCGCACTTTCTGCTTAAGTTGACACTCTATTTGGAAAGATCAAATATGCTATTTGAATTGACATAACCAAGGTATACGAACCCAAAGACATCAACAAATACAAATGTGCATGCATGATGCAAGTATGAATAAATAAATAAATGTCATGTATATGCTGACAAAACAAATAGAGAAGATAGACAGAAGATGATAAGACATCCCAGTACAACCCGACACTCGGCTAATCTCAACAAGATGGGAACATTACTGGAGATAGAACACAGGCCATCATTGGAGCAAGGTCTTTTTACAAGGCTTAAA